TTGACGTACGCATTTAATAAAAAAAGAATTGAACATTATTCCGCAAAAGAATTGACAAAGAGTTAAATAATTTATCGAGTCAATAATTATTTATTTATTTAAAAGTTATCTAGAATTTTATTTAAATATTTTTTATGTATATTCCATCTGTCGTTTCACTGAAACTTGATTCATTCGTTTTCGCGCGCGCCGATATTTTTGGGGAAATAAAATATTTTATCAGGAACGCGGGCGCACATCACTCTTTCGCACAAATATAATCGAAAACGTTGGCGACGCTCGAGTTGCCGTGAAATAGCCGTCGAGGCGGGTCTTATATATCTCGAGGTGCAGCGAATCAGACAATTGCCAGGAATCACACTCGGTTGCTCCCCTGATTACTCACGAAGCCAATCGCTCGTATCTCTACTCCGTGAGAGTCGTGAAACTGTCGGAGGAACGAAGGAGCGAGACAGAGAGAGAGATAGCACCGGAAGAAGTGCTATCTCGATCCAAAAATTGGAGGATCCATACATACACGCAGATACACACGACATTCGCGTGTGAGTGAGAAAGAGAGAGAGAGAGAGAGAGCAGAAAAAGAAGACATTTCGAGGCGTGTTGCACACCCGGGTCTTCGCTCATAAAAAATTACAGCGGGGGGAAAACGATAAATCGAGACTGTCTCCCCGCGCCATAAGGAGCTTATTCCTCTTGTCTCTTCTTGGGCGATGATACGTAACGTCGACAGTCTTCTCGGGATTGAGAAAGAGAGGCGGGGGTGGAGAAACCGCGCCCCGATCACCCATGGGAGAGGCGGAAAAAGTGACTTTTAGAATTACACGAGAGATCGATGTAATACGAAACGTTTATGTCTTCGATGGGAGCTCTCCGGCTGGGGGGAGAGAGGTAGAGAGGGGGAGTCTTCATTTATCATCGGACATCCCGCCGCCGGAGGCATACAGCAGCGGAAGAGCAATCGTTTCGTCGACGGCTAGTTATCGATGAGAACCAAACCGATTGTTTTGCAACTTTTTACGCAACGTCAGACAAAGTCATTAGTCGTTATTCGCCCCGCGTAATCGCATCGGGAACACAACGAAACAATGCGCCGACAAAAAGCGGATTGCGCATCGTGGATGCTGCGAAAAATCGACAGAGTTCGATGCGTGTCGATACTCAAATCTCTCGCGAATTCATAGCGTTCGCATCGCGCGACTTAATCCAAGATTTTATTATAAAAATCCCAGCGTTACGTTCAAACGATGCATATTATAAGGAGTTTTCCAGCAAGAAATGCACATAAACACAATGTCATACAAGATTGGTTGCCAAATAAAAAAATTTTCGACACTTTAAAAATTCTCTATTCGATAGCCAATTGCGTGACATTGTGTCTACCATTGTGTTTTCTTGCTGGAAAGCTCCCATATTTTCGCGAGTAGTCTCGTATCAACCGCGTATATCACGTTACGTAAAAGTCTATTAATATTTTCGCAGCGTCGCGACCGAGCAGCAATTCTCATCGTGACATTTCTCTATTCATTGCACTCGGTCTCCCCGTTAACTTTGCATAGACTTGCGTCTCGAACGACCAAACAACTGTATTCCGTTACAATATTAAGCGACTCTACAAAACAACGGCACCGACTGGTTTCTTTGACAGATGTCAAAGAAACCAGTGTCGTTTATCGCGGACTAAAATAAAACAATAAATCTCTCTTTAGGAAGTCTTCTCAACACGTCAGATCTCAATCCTCTGAACATTTCTTGGATTTAGTACATTTTTTTCAGCGTACAAATTAAAGCTCGATATATTTTCGTTGCCGCTTCGCACGTAATTTTGTCTGTTTCCTGCGCGTTTCCTGCTCCGCTATAGAGGGAGAGAGAAAGAGAGAGAGAGCATCCTGCCACCTACTGCAATCTCTGACCAGCGGCAAGAAACAGAGAACCGCACCTGGTCTTGCCGAAACCACTGGCGGCGCCGACGTCGGAATCGAAGGAGCGGAAAGTGCGGTGAGGGAAAAACCGACCGACCCCGTCCGGGACGTGCGCCGAAGAAAAGCGATTTCCCCGAGGGCTTTTGAGCGGTATGCGTGGAAGGAATGCACAAACGAGAAGAGCGATGCTCTCCTCTCGAGATGTAAACTGTTTGCGCTGTTTCCGGTACAACCGGAGGCCCGGAAAATGGCCAGACGGTGGAGTAGATCCGGTCGACCACTACCACGAAAGGAACTCTCTCTCTCTCTCTCTCTCTCTCTCTCTCTCGTCTTCCTGTTGCCGCTTGTCTTTCATGTCCTCTTCTTAGCGTTCGTTCCGCCTGTCTGAGCGACTATTTACGCTTTCGGCTTTTCCTACTCGTACGGATGTACGATTGATGATGACACTTTCGGAAGCTTAAGAGTTGAAAAGTTTCTCACGAAAGGTACACCGCTGTGCTTTCCGTAAAAAGTTCATTTTTAACTTATATTACATAAAATGTGTTATATTTCCTCTATAAAGAAAGCAATCATTTTTATAATAAAAATCCAGCATGCATCCTCTTAAATGAAATTAGTGTATTATCATTGAAAAGCAGTGAATAGTCACTCATGGTCTCAATTAAAAGTATAGCAAATTCATTGAAAAAATCAATTACTAATGCTTGTTCAATCAGAGATATTTAAAAAAATGCGTCTTATATTATAATATTATATATGATATAAATTTCTAGTAGTATGTTTTGTGAAAAAAATATCTGAGTTTTTGACCAAGAGTCTTGCTTATTTTTTGTTGGTTTATCACATTTTAAGAGTAAAAAAAGTATTATATGTATATAATTATGAATTTGAATACTAGATATATATCTGTTTTATTTCATGCAAAATGTATCCGGGTCCCTTGCCTGAGTAGCTTCTGCGGGGAGATTCGCACCATCTAAAGGACAAAAGCTGGGGAGAGCGTTCAATTCCAGTCCGGTGTTGTCCGACGATGATAAAAAGGAAAAAAGAAAAGGCTTGTCCCTCTCCCTCTCTCTCTCTCTCTCTTGTTTCCTCCCTTTATCGAATAAAATAGAGTCCTGCAATTTGTCACCCCGAGCACGGATCAATGGGTGATGTTTTTTTGAGAGGACCGGCCCTTTGGTTGTCTCCTCCACATGAGAGATCCTTGCCAACTAATCTCCGGACAATTAATCTATCGGAGGTTCTACGTCTCCAGGCTTCTACCTGGATCGTTATTCCGCCGGGCGAAATAAAGTTTTTGGCGAAATCATCGGCGGATAACGAAACAAAATCTATCAGACTTTTAATCGTGTAACTCTTTCCCTTTCTCTCTTTTGTTGTAAACAACAGCGTCATTAATACGTTAACGGCGTTGCGTAAATATTGGATCAACTTCGACAAGCAAATATTTTCCCTGCCTTCAACACTCGGCGTTTATATCGCGATCAAATTGATTTATTTTATATTACAACAGTCCATCGCGGGGACGAGAATGACCGATAAACTGTTGTGCCTGGCACAATGACGGAATTAAGCTATCAATGGGGGCATTTGATAGCGCATTGAAAGGAACGAGCGCAATATACCCTTGCAAAGGTACCCATCGATCGGTTGAGATTGAACGAGAGATGCGAAAGATACATACGCTTTTATTCGAAATGCATAAATCGTTTCTAAGCACACAAACTTTCATTATCTTACGCGTCTTCTTTCCTTCTCGTTATCGGAAGATTTTCTCCTTCTTACATACAAGAAAGTTCCATTCCCAAAATTGAAACTTTTGAAATTCGTCATTTCATATGCAACCCACGGGAGCGTTTGCGCAGGATCGAAAGATTGAAGTAAATCTAGACATTAACTTACACCTCACGAATCGCTTTCCTCTTGATATAATATTGTAGAAGAGGGTGCACTCCTAAATAATGTACGCTTTGAATTATGTGACACTCTTT